ATCAATGGCAGATCTGGTCAATTACTTTCAAAATTTTATTTTTTTAGCATTTTCAAAGTGGTCTGCCACAAAGTAAAATGCGCGATAATGGTCTGCCATTCTTATTTTCCGATAATAATAATCATATATTTTCAAAATTTCAAAACGGCAGACGTGGTCAAATGGATTTAAAATCCGTCAAAATCGGTACCTGTCCTACCTGAGCGCTCGGCGCGTCGACCACTTTGAGCTTAGTGAGTCCCCACCTCATGCATGGTAGGTATAGGGGTCTCAATGTACGAAAATTCAGGTCTGGTCAAATACATACAGGTAGAGCCCACGGGCTCTTGGGCTATTAGATACAATAGCGTTGGAAATTTTCAAAACATGGACAATTTCGAGTACAAAAGAAGTTTCACGTCATTTACTATTAATTTGAAAAATTTCTGAATTCTTCTTAAGCGGTTGGAAAAGGTTTATCTGATTATTCGCGATGTTCAAGGTGTATGTGACTGTTGCTTTTAAAAGCAAAGGTTATTATAATAATTAGGTTATTATTATAAATAATGTTTAATTAGATTAATCTACTCTAATTATTATAATAACCATTTTACTATATTATAGGAGTGCCAATAAATTTTATAAAATACACATTGACATCGAATTTAACAACTGGAAGAGAACGTTTGAAGTCATTTACTGATATCATGATGTCTACTCGTGGATCTGAGGCTGCGAATTCATGGGAAAGCGAACTGGAAAATCATCATATCGTATGTTTTCAAATATATACTTTTATTATTCATATTTTTCTTGAGGTTTTTTTTTTAAACGCTACATACAAACCTTTAATGGGAACAATGTAATTGAATAGTTACAATCCAGAGCGGACGTATGCTTTGCTTCAGAAATACGCTTAGAAGTTGTATATTTAAAATATGTGTGAATTACTACATAATATTATAATCCTTCCTCATTTCGGGTTGAACGACGAAGCAAATGTCATACAATAAAATTTTCAAACAGATTTCAACATCATATTTCAAGGCGAGCAATGACATTCGAGTTATAATATTCACGGGATACTGTAACTAAATAATTTCGTTGATATTATGACTTAAATCCTTACGCCTTTTGGAAGTGCAACTTCTTTAGGCGCGTTGAGAGTAAAATTTTAATCGCGACAGATTAGTTACGGCTAGAGAGAAGAGATACAATTTAGGAAGAGCGAGAGTGAGAAAATAGACGGAATGTCTCGCGAACCACTCGTCCGTGAAGAGAGGGAAAGGACAAAGCGAGCTAGGTCGTTTCTCTTATACACAGCATTCCCCGTTGCAAGAGAAATTTAATTTAAGGATGAAAAATGACAAAAATTATAATACTAACCACCGCAAAAGAAGTTTCACTTCTTTTACATGCACCAAGTTAAACGCGCACCATTTTTTACGTATAACTAAGTTAGTGGTGAAAAAAATTGTTCCAGGACCTTCTTGAGAAACGGAAATTTTTGTTCTCTCTCAGCGTGGATACCAATAACTTGGTATTTGTAAACAAAGCGAGAGACGGTGTACTATGCTGGAATATGGCGACTGAAATGATACCTGAGAACGTCTATGAAGTAGCAAAGTTAAATTTCACTTCATCGCTTTACATATCTGGTATGAACATATTATAAGCTTAAGTCAGTTTGTATGGTAGCATGTGCATAAATCATATCCTAAGTCTCATAAATCTGTAGACAGGCCTGGCTGCCAGAACTTAGCTATATAGGTGCTATCTCTAGGAGTGTGCTCATTGCATTGTCCAGTATAACAATCCACAATGTTTGTGACAAAAGAGCAAGAATAAGCCTCGACACCAACCCCGCGATCTATATTATTGATCTCGCCAGTCCGTTGTACAAGTAGAGATGTTGAGTGTGTATGTGAGATTTGAACCAAGCTGGGTCATTGCCCACGTGCAGTTGCAGGAAGTTCGACCATGGCGATGACTCTGATGTTTCAGCAACGGGCACGGCCTTTTGAAGTCGTCGCGGCCTAAAGGATAAGACGTCCGGTGCATTCGTGTTGAGCGATGTACCGGTGTTTGAATCTCGCAGGCGGGTACCAATTTTTCTAATGAAATACGTACTTAACAAAGGTTCACGATTGACTTCCACGGTGAAGGAATAACATCGTGTGATAAAAATCAAACCCGCAAAATTATAATTTGCGTAATTACTGGTGGTAAGACCTCTTGTGAGTCCGCGCGGGTAGGTACCACCGCCCAGCTTATTTCTGCCGTAAAGCAGTAATGCGTTTTGGTTTGAAGGGTGGGGCAGCCGTTGTAACTATACTTGAGACCTTAGAACTTATATCTCAAGGCGGGTGGCGCATTTACGTTGTAGATGTCTATGGGCTCCAGTAACCACTTAACATCAGGTGGGCTGTGAGTTCGTCCTCCCATCTAAGATATAAAAAGAAAAAAAAAGTCGTCGTCAGCTGTCGACCGTAGCGGACTATGTTTTTTTTTTTTTTTTTAATGCTTAGATGGGGGGACGAGCTCAAAGCCCACCTGGTGTTAAGTGGTTACTGGAGCCCATAGACATCTACAACGTAAATGCGCCACCCACCTCGAGATATAAGTTCTAAGATCTCAGGTATAGTTACAACGGCTACCGCACCCTTCGAACAGAAACGCATTACTGCTTCACGGCGGAAATAGGCGGGGTGGTGGTACCTACCCGTGCGGACTCCCAAGAGGTCCTACCACCAGTGATTACGCAAATTATAATTTTGCGGGTTTGATTTTTATTACACGATGTTATTCCTTCACCGTGGAAGTCAATCGTGAACATTTGTAGAGTACGTATTTCATTAGAAAAATTGGTACCCGCATGCGGGATTCGAACACCGGTGCATCGCTTCAACACGAATGCACCGGACGTCTTATCCGTTAGGCCACAACGACTTCAAACTTCAACTATGTTTCCGCTGCGGCCAATCTGGGCACAAGGCCGCCTCCTGCACCGCCGCCATGCCGCACTGTGTATTGTGCGACGCGGAGAAGCGTCGGGCCAACCACCGGGTTGGGGGCTCAACATGTCATTTTACCACTTTCTCAACAAAGAGGAGGAAGGGTAAAATAAATAAAAAGAAGACGGAAAAGACGCCGGTTGCAAATAAGAATTTCACCACTGTTTCCGAGTTCTGTCTGGGCGGGGATCAGTAGCTTGGGCAGATGAATGAAGGTGATATTAAGGGAATTCATATATAGCCACTTAGAGTACACTGCGATAAGTATTGCACATCGACCTTTGGAAAGAGACCATCGGCTAATTTCGGCTTCGTAGAGTGTTGTCTTTGTCGCACGAAACACTAACAGCCCAACATCTACTAGGACCGCAACGGTAACCACTCAGCTTCAGGTGGCTCGTCTGTCTACATGCGCAATAAAAAAAAAGAGTATTGCAACAGCTCTAATACACGGGATGGTGATTTAGCTATACTAGTGCCAAGCCAAAAGCGGATACTGACTTGACGTAGTCACGACTATTAGCTGGTTGTTTTCGTGTATGCTTGATTGATGTAGTGATTCACATTGCAGATGTCGTAGTCGTTGGATATAGATTGAACATTTTGCTTAACAGAAAGTTAAACGCATCACAATATCAGGATCCCGACGAATGGAACTATTACCTGTACTCGTATGTAAAAGTTTTTTTTTTATAGGATGATACATGATTTTTTCTTATAGGAGAATCCTAAAACCATATGGAAGTACAAAGACTAGGTATTTCGTGCCAAATTTGAATAGCTTAGGTCATTTCATTGAAAAAACACTTGTATTTTTCCTTTTCGCACCAAATTAAGACTATCTGAACCCATTTGTCTCAACTATTGGACAAATCTTTATCAATTAACTGGCTACTAGTGCTCGTAAGCTTCATAACGTGAAATCCTTCACTCAGCTTGAGTTGTCAAGTTGTAAAAAGTTGTTCCACCTTTCAAACCGAAACGCATGACTACTGTGGAGTGAAACTAGATAGAATGGAGTAACTATAACTTTTATCCGAGCTGTGATCTCAATCGCAATAACCATTAATGATATGTTAAGCAGGTTCTAATAATAACAGAAAACAGGGAAAAAAATCCCACAATTGTACAGTTTGTTTGTTTTTTAGGATGGATTTTGATAGTGCGATTGAAGATACAGCGTGCTTCTTGAATAAGGACTATTATAATTTATATCGTAGATACTATGTTTAGGCAAATAAAATATCACTGTAAAAATCGTATATATTATAACAGAACTGTATAATAATTAAATGTTTATAATTATGAACGGTTTTTCATTTATATTGGGTAAATTATTTTTGTTTATCGTTTTTTACTATAATTTATTTTATATTTCCTTAATGCCCCTAATATCCTTATAATAAGTACATGTTTTTTATTTTATCTTATGAATCACTCAACACGGTACTTGCTCTTGGATCGAAGCTGATGCACTGTACATGCTTACATTATTTTTAAATTTTATCTTATTTTTAATAAATAAATTATTTTATTTTTAAACAACTTACAACTAGTAAGATGTATGTATAAAGTTAATGAATGCTCTGCCTGTGAAAAAAATCTTCAACTTCGCGGTAGCATAATAACAATTGGAAAATGCATGAAATTAATTTCCACATAATTAAATATACTATTTCTCCTTATAGCAAAGTTTTATGAATGTAATCATCAGCATTCTTTCAAGCGTTTGCAGTCGAGGACGCTTCTTCTAATTGTATAGTATAGCACGTACATTGGTCTTCTAAATTTTCTTTTGTGGCGCCGAGTCCTGGACAATAAGACGAAGTGGGAGGGCAAAAATCGACGCTTTTGAAATGTAGTGTTGGAGGCGGATGTTGCGAATTCCAGGGACGGCGCGCCGGACCAACTTGTCCATTCTGAAGGTTCTGAAGGAGTTCGGTATTGTCACACGACTGTCTGCTATCTGCTTCCAACGTATTCTCACGTATTTCGGTCACATCGCTCGTAAAGACCCCGATAACTTAAAAAAGCTGATGGTAGTTGGACAGGTTGACGAGAGAATATCACGCGAACGCTCACCTACCCGCTGGTCTGATCTAGTAGAGACGCTCACTGGCCTGCCAAAAACCGTGGTTACAAAGACCGCCGAGGACAGGAAGACGTGGGGAAGCATTGTGCATCGAGTGGTCAACATTTCAAACTAGACACGACCTTCAGCAATGAAGAGACCGACTCAGAAGAAGAAGATTTAGGTTCCTCAAAGTCGTGCAATTCGTTTATCACTACTTGTAGTATTGTAAATGTATCACAATTCTAAGGTACCAAAATTTCTTAGGCTCTCTCTCGTATTTTCATTTGGGGTCACGAAAACTAACAATCATGGTCGAAATCACTTTTTACTTTAACCTAAAGGTGTCCAACACTAAAGACGCCCGGCGTATCCATCGATGCGATTGTGCTGGTATTCAAATCCCGCAGGAAGGTACAATTTTTTTCAAAGAAATATCTACGAACTTCTGAGATATTCACAAACGACTTACATATTGACAGTATAGTATCGAGTCACAATTAAACCAGCAAAATTTATAAATTTACATAATTGCTGGTTATCATAGGATATATTGAAAATCCTCGCGGGATTACATCGGCTTGAGACTTCAATCTCTTGACTCAAGCAACGTGACAATATCGCTTATATTGCTTATACGCTGAATTTATCATTTAACAAACCGTTTTCGGTAAGATAGTTAATAGATAATTAACAGTCACCTATAAGCTTTAGCGTTTGGGGACAACAGCGAAGGGAAGATCTTCCACCGAGCGGGTGTCTCGTTCGTGTACTTACATCAGGTACACTCGCAAGCTCATCTTAAAAATTTCGCTAATGCAATTATTTGTCAAATATCTCTGTTCTATGATACCTACTGCTACAAGTTCTTCCCTACTTATTGCACTTGCAACAATCAGATTTTTTTTGTTTTTCAGTTGTTTGCAGAAACCTATCGTACAAATGATTGGAACTGAATTGGTAATAGGCCTTGAGCGTTTTACTGAGAAATTTGAAAGCTTTGTAAATTTAAGTGATCAATAAAATCTGGAATTATTTATCCTCGACGTTGCTGTGTCAGGTCAGGTTTAAAAGAAGACAATTATTTTCTTAATGTATTTATTACATTAAAAAGTGAAGAAAATAGATAATTCAGCTTATAGCGAATTTTTGAGCCATCAACTCTTTAACCGGCAACACCGTAATATTACGGGTACATTTAACCAATCCTCTATCCTCTACCTTCTATATTATATATTATTAAAATAGATGAAATCAAAATAAGTGTAAAATTAACTGAGTATCTAATTATCGCAAAAATATACTCCCTGATTCTTTATTGGCTGAAAAATTAAAGTGCGCGGAGCGCGTAATTTAAATTCCTAATTGGATAAAATTTTAATGTTATAACCAAAACTGAAAAAATCGAATGTCGATTTTCAAGGGTGAAATATCGATTCACTGAATCGATTCAGAACTACATATCAATTTAAAAAAATCCACATTTTGGCTCAAAAAAAAATTTATTCTTCGATTAATCGATCTCAAATCGCCATCCCTACAAGGAACTTCGTTCCTATCCGGTGTCTCACGACACCACACATATTTTTTTTATTGCTTAGACGGGTGGACGAGCTCACATCCCACCTGATGTTAAGTGGTTACTGAAGCCCATATACATCTACAACGTAAATGCGCCAACCACCTTGAGATATAAGTTCTAAGGACTCAATATAGTTACAACGGCTGCCCCACCCTTCAAGCCGAAACGCATTACTGCTTCACTGCAGAAATAGGCAGGGTGGTGATACCTACCCGTGCGGACTCATAAGAGGTCCCTCCACTAGTAAATACGACATTTATAATTTTTGCGGGTTTGATTTTTTTTACACGACTAGCTGACCCGGCCGACTTCGTAGTGCCTCAATCGATAAATCAAAGACCTAAACTTTTGTACAAACAAAAGGAATCCGTCCGACGGAGGACACATCAAAGGAAAAACAAAATTGTTATTTTTATTAAGAGCATTTTCATATTTATCTACCTTTTAAACCTTCTCTGGACTTCCACAGTTAATTTAAGACCGATTTGGCTAATCTAGCCAAATCGGTCCAGCCGTTCTCGAGTTTTAGCGAGACTAACGAACAGCAATTCATTTATATATATATATATATATATATATATATATATAGATAGATGTTATTCCTTCACCATGGAAGTCACTCGTGAACATTTGTGATGTGTGAATAATTCGCAGAGGTGTTTATTATTTTTGATGTTCGTTAAAGCGATTTTTTATTTTATTTGTAAGAGCCATCATAGATTCCAAACCTTTTTTTATTCACAAAAAGTCCAGTTTGATATTCAGCTGCTAAAAAACAAGGAAAACATGAGTAGCCATGTGACGTGCAATAGTAAAATTCTTGTCAAACTGGCCGAAACAGGATTTGTGCAATAACAAATAAATTTTTCTTTTATTTAAATTATCGACATTGTCGGCATCAAAACAACACCTAGCTTTCCCCGGACACCCAGTTTCTCGATCGACCGACTAGAGGGCAGTCACAAAGAAAATATTTTTAATTTAAAATGCTAATTTTTTTTCGTATTTTCGTAGTTTTGGTCGGATATGCTTTATGTGAAATTAATTTTAATGAAGACAATTCTGTCGAATATGATTCTAGTGTTGAATATAATCAAGACATTGATTACGGTTCAGTGTATAATTTTACGGGATTTAATTTTACGGGATTTAATTTTACGGGATTCAATTTTACTGTAAATCCCGATTACAATTTTATTGAAGGAAGCGTCGAGTTAGAATATGCGTGGACTAATTGCTATTTTGATATTGGCGGTGTAACATGTAAGTACAGTATCAGATGATTTAAACCAATTTATGTGTCTAAATTTAGGGTCTCTTTGGGTCCCTTTCGACCGATGGTAAAACCAAACGATATTATTCGTGTCTATGAACCACGGTGTCTATCCGATGGTATACATGAGAATTTGTAGGAAATAAAAATGCAACTTATGCAATTTTGTTGAAGACATTATTTTGTTCGAGATGTGTTTCTAAGAAGTGGTTCCATTTTCCCAACTGGAAAGGCGAAGGTATCAGATCATACAGCCTCATTTTTTGTATATTTTGTTTTATGAAAAATGCTATAGAGCGAAATGAAATGAAGTTGTTTAATTGAAGGCATCAATTGAGATGAAATTAAATGAAACATGGAATGAAAAAAAAGTTTCATTAAAACGGTGGTTGTTATTTGATTATCTGGGACCTTTCAGTGGACTTTTTGGAGGATCCCGAGAAGCTACGTCCAGCGGCTTTGTTTCATTTTTCTACATTTGTGCACTTTTACAAATACTAAACAGTTAATAAACCACCGTTATTACACATTTAAACCCGAAGAAACACTAAATAGACAAAATAAACCAATTCACACAACTTCGCTCTTCGTTTCGACGCCAAAAAGTCCACAACATTGACAATTGCGTCTCCCAAGATAAATTTTAAGTATAGAATGTAATTCGTTCAAGGCTTATTTTATATTTTAGATTATGACAGTAGTGACGTAGAATTCAAAGAAGGCACTTTTCATTTTGTTGAAGAAGAACTGACCGAAGAAGAGAAATTTTATATTAAAAATAATAACAGACCATTCGCGATTGATGGCGGTTACACTGGACTTGGATATATCATTACAATCCCAAGAACAGAACCTGNTTATATTTTAGATTATGACAGTAGTGACGTAGAATTCAAAGAAGGCACTTTTCATTTTGTTGAAGAAGAACTGACCGAAGAAGAGAAATTTTATATTAAAAATAATAACAGACCATTCGCGATTGATGGCGGTTACACTGGACTTGGATATATCATTACAATCCCAAGAACAGAACCTGGTAACATATTATTATTTGACGCTAATCTAATATTTATTTGTCTAAAACCGAAGCACATACGAATAAATTATGGGCTGAAATGGCATTAAGCAGAGGATATTGCTTGAAAACAAAATTTTGTTGAGTAGAAATCGTAGTCTGGAAGATCGTGAGGCGAATTTCCAAAGGCGGAACAAAGACCTCGTCAATTGTTTTTGTGTCAATATTTTGAACCAATGCATCATCATTCGACATTCGAGACTTTGGTATTGGCATGCGGGAGTCGAATCATCTTAACTACTTATCTGATTTAATCTCAGACAGCTAATCCAAAAGTAGTTTTTATTATGTATTTTTTGAGCGAAAACCAAATAAAATACTATGATTACAGTAATTATTAATACAGGGTGTTACAAAACTACCTGTTGATAACCCAAAAGGAGGTCAAATGGGACCTTATAACGAGTTCATTCACAATATTTAAGAACCGTAGTAGCGCTGTATAACACACCCCAAAAAAATAAAATAATATTATTTTTCACCTACCTACGCTGAAAGTTCAGTTTTCCTCCCGCTGTACAGGGAAGAAAGTCTTACTTTTCCTCCCTGGGCACTGACAAGTGCGCATGCGTGTTAGTGTCTACGTCGGCTCTCACGCACCTAAAATTCTCCGCCATTGTTGTGCTCGGGTAAGTTGCAATATTGTGTTTAGTGTAAAAGTGAAATAAACAAAACGCAATAAAATTTAATAGTGAAGTATTAAGCAAGGATGAGTTCATCAGACAGTTTTTATTCAGTTAGTAGTAGTTCATTTAAAAATAAAAAAACAGTTAAATTGTTTTTTTTTTTTATGATTATGATTATCTCATCCCGCGAGAGGAAATGTCCAAATTTTCTCCCTTGGTGTACAATGTACTATATTTTCACTGATGTGCAAACGCTTTTATTAAGTAAAATTAAGGAGTAATAAACTATCCAGAATATACCTACATTTCTACCTAGTTTGCGGATCGACAACATTTTTAAAAGACGTAACCTAACGAAACAACCTAAAAGAACGCTTATTTTTCATAATAAACCTCAAATTTATAGAAACGGCTCTAAGTGTGCTCCGCCTTACTCAATACACAACACAATCTGGCTAGCAAATATTTATGAATGAAAAATAGAAAAACTATTAAAGTAGTCAATTATTAGGTAAAATAAGTACTCGTACATACGTAGGCCTTTCTGCTAAATAACCTGGTTCCTTGACATGACCGCTTACTAGGGTTTACTTGAAAATAAAAAAAAATTAATTAATTATATTTTCTACGGGGTATTTTATAATACCTGGTATATGAAGATGAAATATCAGCCATTCTTCACACAATATTGTTTTTAAGGAATACCATCAACCATCAATGTTATAGATGAAAGCGAAGTATACATTAGTCCGGATTTTAAGCCATTCAATAACAAGCAAGGCGACAAACTAGTTTCAGTTTATAAAACGTTCTACGATTTTTGTTGGAGACTATGGATGGTTGACACCGGATTGATTGATATACCAGGTAAGATTTAACTGATACGATTATGACTTAGAAGTTAAATCGGTGCTATTTAGTAATGAGGTCGTTAGTATAATAACAAAATAAAAATAGGGTTATTGTTTATTTGCAGTAGTTTTTTTTCTTCTAATTCATTGATATAGTAGCACGCATTAAGTTACTGCCACAATTATTATATTGATGACTGAGGAATCTCAATCGAGCGAGTGGGAACTGTAACCACATTAATTAGCCTTTGGACACTTGATGTGATGATCATGATACTGCTTTATTGTCATATTAAATCATTTTTATTAATTTCAATTGTAAATGAAGTAAATTTAAAAATGAATGAAAAAATAATATTATTATAAATAATCTTTTTTTCTATATCATTTCTATTTTCACAAAAAAAAAAAATTATTTTATAAATATAATAGTAGGAATATGAATATTTAAAAAGGAAACTTTTTTTTTAATAGAATTAAATCTTGATTTGACTTTCCGGTGTTGGTTTTAATTAATTTTACGCATAAACTATTTGAAAGGTGCACGAAAACAAGTGAAACACCCATCACTAGCAGCTTATAGAGAGGGCACTGATCACTTGATATTCAGTTTTGACATAAGCCCTGCAGTGCTGATCAACGGTACAGCTACTGAAGGTAAGGAGTTTGTAACGCTGTTATATAATATATTGGTGGTGTTGAGCCATAACAGAGAGACACGAGAAAAGGTAGTTACAACAGGATAGAATACAGATGAATGGAATGAATTTGATGATGGATTCACAGACAGAAATTAGGGAGAGACTTTGAGATAGACTTTGCAATAGAGCTATTGTGCATTTCAATGTGTATTTCAGTAAGCAAAGAGATTTGCGAATTATTGGGATAATTATTTGTAAATCATATCAGGTATCACAATCTGAGAAACTTGAAACTTAGGTCTACTGCTGGCTGCGAATAGTATGCCGTTTAATCTTCAAAGCCAGGAGCCCTTTTGCGCCAATTACAATCGACTGCACTTATACAAAAGTTACTCTTTCTAGGCTAGTTGATATCACTCAGTCGAGTCATTGGTGTGGTGTTTAGATACTGAGATACTGTATCTTCAATCACATGTAAAACAATATCAGTTAGATTCGCGACTGGAGCCAGCTATTAAAAAAATTCGTGTGTGAGTTAAATGTGGTAACATATGTACTTAGACGAATCCTTATTTTAGTGAGATCAGTATTCGCTGACATCATAACTGGCTAACTAAACCATCTTTGAAAATAAAGGTTTATCTATTACTAGCTGACCCGGCAGACTTCGTACAANAATCACATGTAAAACAATATCAGTTAGATTCGCGACTGGAGCCAGCTATTAAAAAAATTCGTGTGTGAGTTAAATGTGGTAACATATGTACTTAGACGAATCCTTATTTTAGTGAGATCAGTATTCGCTGACATCATAACTGGCTAACTAAACCATCTTTGAAAATAAAGGTTTATCTATTACTAGCTGACCCGGCAGACTTCGTAGCGCCTCAATCGATAAATAAAAGACCTAAACTATTGTATAAAATAAACTTAAAACAAAGAAAATGTGTCCGTCCGAAGGAGGACACATCAAAGGGAAAACAAAATTGTTATTTTTATTTAATTCCGAGCATTTTCATATGTATCTACCTTTTAAACTTTCTCTGGACTACTACAAATAATTCAAGACCAAAATTAGCCAAATCGGTCCAGCCGTTCTCGAGTTTTAGCGAGACTATCGAACAGCAATTCATTTTTATATTATTATTACAGCAGATGTATCTGTTGTTTCATATATATGTACATACATCATTATATATAAATGTATATCTACGACAATTAACTAAATAGATTTGATTGTCTTTATTAGTACTATTAAGTAAATTACATTTTGAGCTACTCCTGTTTTTTCAGGTCTAATGATATTAGGCGTAGACACTGGTCGAAGTAAATGTAATGACACATTCGTTTATATAACGGATCAAGCTACAGACGGAATAATAGTATTTTCATTAGAAGACACTGCTTTCACACGGCTCAATGTTACCGATTTAAATCACTTCCCAACGGATTCGCCGCACTTTGAGTTCCCGCGTAAGTATTTCACAGTCTTTATACAAGCATTACATACAATAGCGTTGGAAATTTCGAAAATATGGACAATTTCGAGTACAAAGCAAGTTTTACGTCATTTTCTATTAACATGTTCGCGTGAGCAACCTCATTTCTGAATATTGCTACTGTAGCGCATCTTTTTCCCATACAAAGTTTAACAACATCTAAAAACGTCCCGCCGTAATAATAGGTTTGGGGAACTAGTCTTTTCGTATTATACTATGTATGAACTTGTAATAAAATCTCTTTGGCTAAAATCTATTTGTATCTGGCTGATTTTGGTATCATTAAAAGTTTAAATTTTAAAGAAGATAATTCCATATTCAAATTAGGAAAATGTGTGATTTTTATTTATTTTTCGTACTGTCAAGATCAGTGATTCTAATGAAGAAATTCGATACATTTTAAATTTTTACTACAAAAAAGGTAAAAATGCAACGCAAGCCGCGAAAAAAATTTGCGATGCGGATGGACCTAGTGCAGTATCTGTGAGAGTAGCACAAATTTGTTATAAGCGCTTTCAATCGAGTACAAAACAAGTTTCACGTCATTTTCTATTAATTTGAAGAATTTTTGTATTCTTCTTAAACTTGTTAAAGGCGTGTGTGACTGTTGCTTTTATCTACTCTCATTGTTTCGTTTTCCATTTTACTGTATTATAGGCGTGCCAATCAATTTTATAAAATACACATTGACATCGAATTTAACGACTGGAAGAGAACGTTTGAAGTCATTTACTGATATCATGATGTCTACTCGTGGATCTGAGGCTGCGAATTTATGGGAAAATGAACTAGAGGAAAATCTCGATATCGTATGTTTTCAAATATGTATTTTTATTATTCGTATTATTATTGATGTAATTTTTTTTAAAACGTTGTTTACAAACCACAGTATTTGACTGCAATGGTAACATTACATTGATTAGTTACAATCCAGGGCGGCCGTATGCTTTGCTTCAGAAATACGCTTAGTGGCTATATCTATATGTACGAATTACTAAGAGATAATCCGCATTTCAGATTGAATGTCGAAGCAACTGTTATACAATAAAAATGAGATTTTAACATCATGTTTCAAGGTGAGCGATGACATTCGAGTTATGTTCACGGCTACTGTAATTAAATAACTACGAGATAAAAAAAACCATCTACAAGATATTATGTCTTTTATGTCGTTGAGAGTAAAATTTAGCTCGCGACAGATTCGTTACGGCTAGGGAGAAAAGATACAATTTAGGAAGGAGCGAGAATGAGAAAATAGATGGAGCGTCTCCCGAACTACTCGTCGGTGGAAAGAGGGAAAGGACAAAGTGAGCTAGGTCGTTTCTCTTATACACAACATTTCCTATTACAAGAGAAATTTATTTTGAGGATGAAAAATGAAGAAAATCACAATACTACACAATGCAAAAGAAGTTTCACTTCTTTAACGTGCACTACGTTATACGCGCGCACCATTTTTTACGTACAAATGAGTTAATGGTGAAAAAAAACGTTCCAGGATCTTTTTGAGAAACGAAAATTTTTGTTCTCTCTCAGCATGGGTACCAATAACCTACTATTTATTAACAAAGCGAGAGACGGTGTACTATGCTGGAATCTGGAGACTGAAATGATACCTGAGAACGTCCATGAAGTAGCAAAGCTAAATTTCACTTCATCGCTTTACATCTCTGGTATGAACATTTAAACTATCAATTTTTATGGCAGCATCTGCACTCATAAATCTGTAGACAGGCCAAGCTCCCAGAGCGTAGCTCGATAGGAGCTGTCTCTAGGAGTGTACTCATTGCATCGTCTAGAATAACTCACAATTTACAATGTTTGTGGGAACTAAGTAAATCAAGAACCAAGTAAAGTAGGTGATATTAAGTTAATGAAATTCCTATTTATCCACTTAGAGTAAGTACTCTGCGATAAATATTACACGTCGATCTTTCGAAAGAGACCATCAGCTTATTTCGGCTTCCTAGAGTGGTTGTTCTCTTTGTCGCACGAAACACTAACAGCCCGATATCTACTAGGACCGCACTCCATCGCACTTGGACAATGTCTGACAAACGTAACTTAAGTAGTTTTTATTTTATTTGGAATAACGGATTACTGGTGGCCCGGAGGCCTTTCCAATTTCACCAAGACAGGTGGTGAAGGACTCCGCCAGGAGTACATAGGTAATATGCGACAGAGGCAATGCTCTACGAAGACAAAACCAGCAGACTGTCTCTTTTCGAAAGTCTATATGCAAAATTTATTGCTGAATATTGCAACAGCTCCAATACGTCGGACGGAAGCCAAAAGCGGATACTGATTTGACGTAGTCACGACAAGGACTATTAGCTGGTTGTTTTCGTGAATGCATGATTGATTATTTTTTCCTACCTATTCGCTGATAGCCTAAGGAGCTATTCCAGCTACGCCCGGATGGGTAGATGTGGTCACGGGCTCAACCTGAGAAAATTTGCTAACAATAGCCCTAACAAAAGCAGTGCTTCGCAGAGTCTACCAACGGGTCAGAATCGTTACCCACTGAGAAGATCCGGCGCTAAACTCAGTAGGCTGTGTCTATGGGTTCGTTTGCTCGTCGAACTCTTCATCGTAATCGACGAGTTCGACGAGGACGATAAGCGGGGCTTGAAGAGCCACCGACAGTGGATTGAATTTACACTACTACCGCCTCCTCTCTTCATTCCCGGAGAAGGTACAATCACCTCCCGTAGATAGGCAAGCTGTAACGGCAATGCCTTTTGCTATTCCTTAATTCACTCATTACATTACAAACAAATACGAGTTCATCCACGAATTGACGTATAAATAAAACTAATAAAACTTAAAATGCCCATTTACATCGGAACACGCTCCTTCGTCCCGTCTAGCACAAGTGGGTTATCCACCTTCATTTGTAGAAGTAAGCCACGATATTTTCGGTTATATACGGTTTTCGTGTATGATTTATTTAATGATTCACATTGCAGATGTCCTAGCCGTTGGAAGTATATTGAAAATTTTGCTTAACAGAAAGTTGAACTCTTCACAATATCAGGATCCCGATGAATGGAACCATTACATGTACACGTATGTAAAAGTTTTTATTTTTTATACTATGATACATGATTTTTTCTTATAAGAGAATCCTAGAACCACATGGAAGTACAAAAACTAGGTATTTCATGCCAAATTTAAGTAGCTTAGGTCATTTCATTGAAAAACCACTTGTATTTTTTCTTTTCGCACCAAACTAAGACTATCTGAACCCATTTGTCTCAACCATTGGACAAATCAATGAAGATATCAGTGCTCGTGGCCCACCAGGTCTTAACTGGCTACTAGTGCTCCTGAACATCACAACGTGAATTCCTTCACTCACCTTGAGATGTCAAGTTGTAAAAAAGTTGTTCCGCCTTTCAAACCGAAACGCATGACTACTGTAGAGAGCCGTAGAAAGGACCTAAGATCTTAATGGGATAACCATTCATGACCGGGTGAGCAGGTTCTAACAATAACAGAAAACAGCAAAAAATGTATTATTCCAACAATTGTACAGATTGTTTGTTTTTTAGGATGGATCTTGATGGTGCTATTGAAGATACAGCGTGCTTCCTGAATAAGAACTATTTTAATTTATATCATAGATACTATACGTAAGCATATACTTGTACACTATAAAAAATCGTTTCATGATTATCTTGTTACAATCTTAAGTGTATAAGTTCTTGAGTACTAACTCAAAATCACTAAAAAGTTATTTTTTCTTAAAATCTAATGAGGATATAGTTTTTGTCTAACCACGATGATAGACCAAGACGTTTTTGTATAATCTCTACTTAAATGATACCAAAATTGAATTCAAAATTGCTTGAACAATTAATAGATGTTCACTCAGGTGAGCTTTTATGAGGAATTAAATAAATATATTATAGAACTGTATAATAATTAAATGTTTATAATAATTAAATATTTTTCATTAATATTGAGTAATTTTTATGTTTTTGTTTCTTATTTTATTTTATGAATCACTCAATCATCTCTGATATCGTTTTTAACACGGTACTTTGATCGAAGCTGATGCACTGTGCATGCTCATATTATTTTTAAACTTATTTTATCTTATTTTTAATAAATAAATAATTTTATTTTTAAACCAAACTTACAACTGGTAGGACGTATGTATAAAATTAATTGATGCTCTGCCTATAAGGAAAATTAAAAAAAATGTTACTTGGACATTATAGCAACTTCACAATAGCATAATAACAATTGGAAAATGCATGAAATGAATTTCCACATAATTAAATATACAATTTCTCCCTATATCAAACTTTTATGAATGTAATCATCAGCATTCTTTCAAGCGTTTGCAGTCGAGGACACTTCTTCTAATTGCATAGTTTCAATATCGAAATTAAACAAGTAATTGTGAACGCAGACATCCACCAATTTGCCGCGCCTACATCTATGCATTCCGCACACCGGTTTGATGAGTCGAGTGATAATTGAAAAAATTTTTACTATATAAAAAAACATCGCAGCTCAAGGTGGATGACAGCATCATACTATAACATTTTGGCTATTTTGACTATTTAAGAGTTAAACTGGAATTGCCAAAGTGGAAACATTAAAATTAAATGGAACCTGCACGGTCTGCGATTGGTGATTAAAACATCTTACATCTATCTAATAATCTAAAAAAATTAAATTTTATGAATTTTAAATTCTAGATTCGAAAAGATTATGATGACAGACAGTAATTTTGTGCTTTGCGATTTTTGGTTTCTGGAATTAAACTTTTTTAATCTTATATAACTATTTAGGTTCCCCCTAAACCTGGTATACTTGTTCGCTCTAATGAACTTCATGACTTGACACTTGATGAATTTGTTGACCAGTTCGTTTATCTTGGCTCTCTTCTTTGTGGCGAGGATGGCAGCGAGAAAGAGATAGCTAGAAGAATCCAAATATCCAAAGCAGGAAATTCTTACGATAACAATTAGCGTAACAAGTATTTAGTTTAAAGGTTCTTTGAAATTCGAATCACTAGAAATCGTGCAATCACTTAAACATCAACTCAACACTTTTAAAAGTAACAATTGTACGAAATACTGTCACAAAATTAACGATGGAACACAGTAAATAATGCTCTCCAAGAAAGGCAGGCAGCGGCTTGGCTCTGCCCCTGACATTGCTGACGTCCCTGAGCAACGGTAACCGCTTACCATCAGGTGGGTCGTAAGCTCGTCTGCCTACTTGGCAACAATTTGGTCAATCGCATGACATCGTATATTATTTATCGGGCGATCTTCAGGACTTACCCACAAGACTTAGATAGGATACCCGTGAACTTCAAGATAGGATACCCAATGCATACAGATATGTTTTCTTAGGGAATATGAGTAGCTGGAAGTGATAACGTTAATAATAAACTAGTAAAACTCGGTCATGACTGTACTCCCTAAATGCATAGAATAACAGTTTGTTCAAAATATTCAGGCATCACTTATCGTATATTGGTTCTGTGATCAAACGCTTTCACTGATGTACAACAATCGTAAACAGTCTCTAATCAATTGGATAAACGCACATACTGATAGATGACAAATAAATTCTGAAGTGGAAGTTAAAATGGACATATAAATAGGGCCTTTGCTTAAATTATCAATAAACTAAATTAGGATGCTATTCTGTTTATTAATTAGAATTGCATATATAATCTAACTCAAATCAAACTGTTTTTTTTTTGGTCAGAAGGAAATCGCCGGACTTCCGCCCTCCTCTGGGGATGAAGGGCGGGGCATGTCGGAGTCGAACTGACTAAAACCTCCTGTCGCTCAACAACCTGCGTCCGAACCTCGCATGAGACAAAACCCAAGAAAAGGCAAAGGAGGGAAAGTGAAGCGTTTAGTGCGGAGCACATCTCTCCCATCACCCTCCCCCTCGGGACGCCGGACCGGCGGTCGTCGGCGCCGCGACCAGCCCTCTCGGTCAGCAGGCTATCCGAAGCCCGCCTAGATGGCGCCGGTTATAATGGGTAACTCAAATCAACCTTAGATAGATTTTTGCGTCATCATCGTTCTTTTTTTTTCACAGGAGAAAATCGCCGGATCCTCACCTGCACGACGGTTGGGGTATGTGGGAAATGAACCTCACTAAAAACTTCTGCGCTCACAGCCGGCGCCCTACCCCGGACCGGGCCGGAGCCCAGTCGGGGCTATCAAGACGGCGGGATAGGGTTTATGCAGAGTGTATTACATCCATCCCGCCGTCCCCCAGACGCCGGATCGGCGGCCGCAAGCAACACAACCGCCGGTTCCTTCGGTCGACGGACCAGAAGCCCGCATTGATGGCGCGGATTAAAGCGATTTTAATTTTTTTTTTGTTAGAGCCCTCAGAAGTTCCAAATCTTTTTTGAATCAACAAAAAGTCCAATTGATATTCGGCAACTATAAAACAAGGAAAACGTGAGTGGCCATGTGTCGTGCAGTAACAAAATTCTTGTCAAACTGGCTGAAGCAGGATTTGTGCAATAACAAATGAAGTTTTCTTTTATTTAAATTATCGACATTGTCGGCATTAAAACAACAGCTAGCCTTCCCCGGACACCCAGTTTCTCGATCGACCGACTTCAGTGCAGTCGCAAAGAAAATATTTTTAGTTAAAAATGCTAAATTTTTTTCGTATTTTCGTGGTTTTTGTCGGATATGCTTTATGTGAAATTAATTTTTATGAAGATAATTCTGTCGAATATGATTCAAGTGTTGAATATAATCAAGACATTGATTACGATTCAGAGTATACTTTGACTGGATTTAATTTTACGGGATTAAATTTTACAGAAAATTTCGATTACAATTTTATTGAACGAAACGTCGAGTTACAATATGCGTGGACTACTTGCCATTTTGATATTGGCGGTGTAAAATGTAAGTACAGTATCAGGTGATATAAATCAATTTATGTGTCAAAATTAAGGATCTCTTCGGGTCCCTTTCGACCGATGGTAAAACCAAACGATATTATTCGTGTCTATGAACCACGGTGTCTACCATGAGGTAAGTGGTATCCATGAGAATGTGTAGGAAATAAAAATGCAACTTACGCAATTTTGTTGAAGACATTATTTTGTTCGAGATGTGTTTCTAAGAAGTGGTTCCATTTTCCCAACTGGAAAGGCGAAGGTATCACACCACACAGCCTCATTTTTTGGATATTTTGTTTTATGAAAAAATGCTATAGAGCGAAATGAAATGAAGTTGATTAATTTAAGGCATTAATTGAGATGAAATTAAATGAAACATGGAATGAAAAAAAAGTTTCATTAAAACGGTGGTTGTTATTTGATTATCTGGGACTTTTCAGTGGACTTTTTGGAGGATCCCGAGAAGCTACGTCCAGCGGCTTTGTTTCATTTTTCTACATTTGTGCACTTTTACAAATACTAAACAGTTAATAAACCACCGTTATTACACATTTAAACCTGAAGAAACACTAAATAGACAAAATAAACCAATTCACACAACTTCGCTCCTCGTTTTGACGCCAAAAAGTCCACAACATTGACAATTGCGTCTCCCAAGATAAATTTTAAGTATAGAATGTAATTCGTTCAAGGCTTATTTTATATTTTAGATTATGACAGTAGTGACGTAGAATTCAAAGAAGGCACTTTTCATTTTGTTGAAGAAGAACTGACCGAAGAAGAGAAATTTTATATTAAAAATAATAACAGACCATTCGCGATTGATGGCGGTTACACTGGACTTGGATATATCATTACAATCCCAAGAACAGAACCTGGTAACATATTATTATTTGACACTAATCTAATATTTATTTGTCTAAAACCGAAGCACATACGAATAAATTATGGGCTGAAATGGCATTAAGCAGAGGATATTGCTTGAAAAACAAATGTTGTTGAGTAGAAATCGTAGTCTGGAAGATCGTGAGGGGAATTTCCAAAGGCGGAACAAAGACCTCGTCAATTGTTTTTGTGTCAATATTTTGAACCAATGCATCATCATTCGACATTCGAGACTTTGGAATTGGCATGCGGTAGTCGAATCATCTTAACTACTTATCCGATTTAATCTCAGACATCTAATCCAAAAGTAGTTTTTATTATGTATTTTTCGAGCGAAAACCAAATAAAATACTATGATTACAGTAATTATTAAAACAGGGTGTTACAAAACTACCCGTTGATAACCCAAAAAGAGGTCAAATGGGACCTTATAACGAGTCCATTCACAATATTTAAAAACCGTAGTAGCGCTGTATAACATACCCCAAAAAAAAAAAAAAATATTATTTTTCTCCTACCTACGCTGAAAGTTCGGTTTTCCTCCCGCTGTACAGGGAAGAAAGTCTTACTTTTCCTCCCTGGGCACTGACAAGTGCGCATGCGCGTTAGTGTCTACGTCGGCTCTCACGCACCTAAAATTCTCCGCCATTGTTGTGCTCGGGTAAGTTGCAATATTGTGTTTAGTGTAAAAGTGAAATAAACAAAAGGCAATAAAATTTAACAGTGAAGTATTAAGCAATGATGAGTTCATCAGACAGTTTTTATTCAGTTAGTAGTAGTTTATTTAAAAATAAAAAAACAGTTAAATTGTTTTTTTTTTATGATTATGATTATCTCATCCCGCGAG